GATGCTGGTACTGGATGTAGTGGGTAAGAGCCTTGATGCTGGTACTGGAGGTAACAGGTTAGATCCTTGATGCTGGTACAGCAGGAAGTGGGTTAGATCCTTGATGCTGGCACTGGATGTAGTGGGTTAGAGCCTTGATGCTGGTACTGCAGGAAGTGGGTTAGAGCCTTGATGCTGGCACTGGATGTAGTGGGTTAGAGCCTTGATGCTGGCACTGGAGGTAGTGGGTTAGAGCCTTGATGCTGGTACAGCAGGAAGTGGGTTAGATCCTTGATGCTGGCACTGGATGTAGTGGGTTAGAGCCTTGATGCTGGCACTGGAGGTAGTGGGTTAGAGCCTTGATGCTGGTACAGCAGGAAGTGGGTTAGATCCTTGATGCTGGCACTGGATGTAGTGGGTTAGAGCCTTGATGCTGGCACTGGAGGTAGTGGGTTAGAGCCTTGATGCTGGCACTGGAGGTAGTGGGTTAGAGCCTTGATGCTGGCACTGGAGGTAGTGGGTTAGAGCCTTGATGCTGGTACAGCAGGAAGTGGGTTAGATCCTTGATGCTGGCACTGGAGGTAGTGGGTTAGAGCCTTGATGCTGGTACTGGAGGTAGTGGGTTAGTTCCCTGATGCTGGTACTGGATTGTGGTTGCAGGGGTCGAGACTCAGCTCCTGACCCCGCCGTTTCACCGACCGCTACTAGGTCCTCTCTCCCCCTGCTCCATGAGCTTTATCATACCTCGTCTTAAAACTATGTATAGTTCCTGCCTCCACTACCTCGCTTGCCAGACTATTCCACTTCCAAACTACTCTATGACTGAAGAAATACTTCCTAACATCCCTTTGACTCATCTGAGTCTTCAGCTTCCAATTGTGACCCCTTGTTTCTGTGTCCCCTCTCTGGAACATCCTGTCTCTGTCCACCTTGTCTATTCCAAGCAGTATTTTGTATGTCGTTATCATGTCTCCCCTGACCCTCCTGTCCTCCAGTGCTGTCAGACCGATTTCTCTTAACCTTTCTTCATAGGACATTCCCCTTAGCTCTGGAACTAGCCTTATTGCAAACCTTTGCACTTTCTCTAATTTCTTGACGTGTTTGACCAGGTGTGGGTTCCAAACTGGTGCTGCGTATTCTAGTATGAGCCTGACGTACACAGTGTATAAAATCTTGAACGGTTCCTTACTGAGGTACCGGAACGCTATTCTCAGGTTTGCCAAGCGCCCATATGCCGCAGCAGTTATCTGGTTAATGTGTGCTTCTGGCGATGTACTCGGTATTATACTCACTCCTAGGTCTTTCTCCTTGAGTGAGGTTTGTAGCCTTTGGCCTCCTAGCCTATAGTCTATCTGCGGTCTTCTTTGCCCTCCTCCGATCTTCATGACTTTGCATTTGGCGGGGTTAAATTCTAGGAGCCAGTTTCTGGACCACACATCCAGCCTGTCCAGGTCTCTTTGTAGACCTGTCTGGTCCGCGTCTGATTTAATTCTCCTCATTAACTTCACGTCATCTGCAAACAGGGACACTTCTGAGTCTATCCCTTCCGTCATATCGTTCACATATATAGTGGGTTACAGCCTTGATGCTGGTACTTGATGTAGTGGGTTAGAGCCTTGATGCTGGTACTGGAGGTAGTGGGTTAGAGCCTTGATGCTGGTACTGGAGGTAGCAGGTTAGTGCCTTGATGCTGGTACTGGATGTAGTGGGTTAGATCCTTGATGCTGGTACTGGAGGTAACAGGTTAGAACCTTGATACTGGCACTGGAGGTAACAGGTTAGATCCTTGATGCTGGTACCGGAGGTAGTGGCAACTGTTGACATTCCCAGTAGGTAAGTGGATACATTTCTAATTTAACGAGACATTTATTAAAGCCACATTTCGTCCACACATTTCGTCCACCCAGGTCTTTGTCAAGTCAATACATGCAAGAAAACAGTGAGTGTATATAAGGGTAGAGGGTGAGGTATCACCAGTAGTCGTGGTAGTTGTAGTAATGTTAGTAGCAATAACAGTAGTAGTGGTAGTAGTAGTAGTAGTAGTAGTAATGTTAGTGATAATAATAGTAGTGCTGGTGTTAGTCGTAGTAGTGGTGCTGGTGTTAGTCGTAGTAGTAGTGCTGGTGTTAGTCGTAGTAGTGGTGCTGGTGTTAGTCGTAGTAGTAGTGCTGGTGTTAGTCGTAGTAGTGGTGCTGGTGTTAGTCGTAGCAGTGGTGCTGGTGTTAGTCGTAGTATTAGTGCTGGTGTTAGTCGTACTAGTAGTGCTGGTGTTAGTCGTAGTAGTAGCAGCAGCAGCAGAAGTAATAATAGTGGCGTTAGTGGTAATAATAGTAGTAGTAGTAGTAGTAGTAGTAGTAGTAGTAGGTGGTGTTAGTGCTAGTAGTACTAGTAGTGGTGGTAGCAGTAGTAGTCGGGGTAGTAGTAGTGGCAGTACATTAGGAGTAGTGGTGGTAGTAGTAGTAGTAGTAGTAGTAGTAGCAGTACTGGAAGCAGTAGTAGTAGTAGTAGTAGTAGCAGTACTGGAAGCAGTAGCAGTAGTAGTAGTAGTAGCAGTACTGGAAGCAGTAGCAGTAGTAGTAGTAGTAGCAGTACTGGAAGCAGTAGCAGTGGTGGTGGTGGTAGTAGTAGTGACAGTACATTAGGAGTAGTGGTGGTAGTAGTAGTAGTAGTAGCAGTACTGGAAGCAGTAGTAGTAGTAGTAGTAGTAGCAGTACTGGAAGCAGTAGCAGTAGTAGTAGTAGTAGCAGTACTGGAAGCAGTAGCAGTAGTAGTAGTAGTAGCAGTACTGGAAGCAGTAGCAGTGGTGGTGGTGGTAGTAGTAGTGACAGTACATTAGGAGTAGTGGTGGTAGTAGTAGTAGTTAGTCAGTACTGGAAGCAGTAGTAGTAGTAGTAGTAGTAGCAGTACTGGAAGCAGTAGCAGTAGTAGTAGTAGTAGCAGTACTGGAAGCAGTAGCAGTGGTGGTGGTGGTAGTAGTAGTGACAGTACATTAGGAGTAGTGGTGGTAGTAGTAGTAGTAGTAGCAGTACTGGAAGCAGTAGTAGTAGTAGTAGTAGTAGCAGTACTGGAAGCAGTAGCAGTAGTAGTAGTAGTAGCAGTACTGGAAGCAGTAGCAGTAGTAGTAGTAGTAGCAGTACTGGAAGCAGTAGCAGTGGTGGTGGTGGTAGTAGTAGTGACAGTACATTAGGAGTAGTGGTGGTAGTAGTAGTAGTAGTAGCAGTACTGGAAGCAGTAGTAGTAGTAGTAGTAGTAGCAGTACTGGAAGCAGTAGCAGTAGTAGTAGTAGTAGCAGTACTGGAAGCAGTAGCAGTAGTAGTAGTAGTAGCAGTACTGGAAGCAGTAGTAGTAGTACTAGTAGCAGTACTGGAAGCAGTAGCAGTAGTAGTAGTAGCAGTACTGGAAGCAGTAGCAGTAGTAGTAGTAGTAGTAGCAGTACTGGAAGCAGCAGCAGTAGTAGTAGTAGTAGCAGTACTGGAAGCAGTAGCAGTAGTAGTAGTAGCAGTACTGGAAGCAGTAGCAGTAGTAGTAGCAGTACTGGAAGCAGTAGCAGTAGTAATAGTAGCAGTACTGGAAGCAGTAGCAGTAGTAGTAGTAGTAGTAGCAGTACTGGAAGCAGTAGCAGTAGTAGTAGTAGTAGCAGTACTGGAAGCAGTAGTAGTAGTAGTAGCAGTACTGGAAGCAGTAGTAGTAGTAGTAGCAGTACTGGAAGCAGAAGCAGTAGTAGTAGTAGTAGTAGCAGTACTGGAAGCAGTAGCAGTAGTAGTAGTAGTAGTAGCAGTACTGGAAGCAGTAGCAGTAGTAGTAGTAGTAGCAGTACTGGAAGCAGTAGCAGTAGTAGTAGTAGCAGTACTGGAAGCAGTAGCAGTAGCAGTAGCAGTAGCAGTAGTAGTAGTAGTAGCAGTACTGGAAGCAGTAGCAGTAGTAGTAGTAGTAGCAGTACTGGAAGCAGTAGCAGTAGTAGTAGTAGTAGCAGTACTGGAAGCAGTAGTAGTAGTAATAGTAGTAGCATTACTGGAAGCAGTAGCAGTAGTAGTAGTAGTAGCAGTACTGGAAGCAGTAGCAGTAGCAGTAGCAGTAGTAGTAGTAGTAGCAGTACTGGAAGCAGTAGCAGTAGTAGTAGTAGTAGCAGTACTGGAAGCAGTAGCAGTAGTAGTAGTAGTAGCAGTACTGGAAGTAGTAGCAGTAGTAATAGTAGTAGCATTACTGGAAGCAGTAGCAGTAGTAGTAGTAGTAGCATTACTGGAAGCAGTAGTAGTAGTAGCAGTACTGGAAGCAGTAGCAGTAGTAGTAGTAGCAGTACTGGAAGCAGTAGCAGTAGTAGTAACAGTAGTAGTAGCAGTACTGGAAGCAGTAGCAGTAGTAGTAGTAGTAGCAGTACTGGAAGCAGTAGCAGTAGTAGTAGTAGCAGTACTGGAAGCAGTAGCAGTAGTAGTAGCAGTACTGGAAGCAGTAGCAGTAATAGTAGTAGCAGTACTGGAAGCAGTAGCAGTAGTAGTAGTAGCAGTACTGGAAGCAGTAGCAGTAGTAGTAGTAACAGTACTGGAAGCAGTAGCAGCAGTAGTAGTAGTAGCAGTACTGGAAGCAGTAGCAGTAGTAGTAGTAGCAGTACTGGAAGCAGTAGCAGTAGTAGTAGTAGTAGCAGTACTGGAAGCAGTAGCAGTAGTAGTAGTAGTAGCAGTACTGGAAGCAGTAGCAGTAGTAGTAGTAGTAGCAGTACTGGAAGCAGTAGCAGTAGTAGTAGTAGTAGTAGTACTGGAAGCAGTAGCAGTAGTAGTAGTAGTAGCAGTACTGGAAGCAGTAGCAGTAGTAGTAGTAGTAGCAGTACTGGAAGCAGTAGCAGTAGTAGTAGTAGTAGTAGCAGTACTGGAAGCAGTAGCAGTAGTAGTAGTAGTAGTAGTACTGGAAGCAGTAGCAGTAGTAGTAGTAGTAGCAGTACTGGAAGCAGTAGCAGTAGTAGTAGTAGTAGCAGTACTGGAAGCAGTAGCAGCAGTAGTAGTAGTAGTAGTAGCAATACTGGAAGCAGTAGTAGTAGTAGTAGTAGTAGTAGTAGTAACAGTACTGGAAGTAGTAGCAGTAGTAATAGTAGTAGCATTACTGGAAGCAGTAGCAGTAGTAGTAGTAGTAGCAGTACTGGAAGCAGTAGTAGTAGTAGCAGTACTGGAAGCAGTAGCAGTAGTAGTAGTAGCAGTACTGGAAGCAGTAGCAGTAGTAGTAGTAGTAGCAGTACTGGAAGCAGTAGCAGTAGTAGTAGTAGTAGCAGTACTGGAAGCAGTAGCAGTAGTAGTAGTAGTAGCAGTACTGGAAGCAGTAGCAGTAGTAGTAGTAGTAGCAGTACTGGAAGCAGTAGCAGTAGTAGTAGTACTGGAAGCAGCAGCAGTAGTAGTAGTAGTAGCAGTACTGGAAGCAGTAGTAGTAGTAGTAGTAGCAGTACTGGAAGCAGTAGCAGTAGTAGTAGTAGTAGCAGTACTGGAAGCAGTAGCAGTAGTAGTAGTAGTAGTAGCAGCAGTACTGGAAGCAGTAGCAGTAGTAGTAGTAGTAGCAGTACTGGAAGCAGTAGCAGTAGTATTAGTAGTAGCAGTACTGGAAGCAGTAGTAGTAGTAGTAGTAGCAGTACTGGAAGCAGTAGCAGTAGTAGTAGTAGTAGCAGTACTGGAAGCAGAAGTAGTAGTAGTAGCAGTACTGGAAGCAGTAGCAGTAGTAGTAGTAGTAGCAGTACTGGAAGCAGTAGTAGTAGTAGTAGTATAAGTTAGTAGTAGTAGTAGTAGTAGTAGTAGTACTGGAAGCAGTAGTAGTAGTAGTAGCAGTTCTGGAAGCAGTAGTAGTAGTAGCAGTACTGGAAGCAGTAGCAGTAGTAGTAGTAGAAGCAGTACTGGAAGCAGTAGCAGTAGTAGTAGTAGTAGCAGTACTGGAAGCTGTAGGAGTAGTAGTAGAAGTACTGGAAGCAGTAGCAGTAGTAGTAGTTATAGTACTGGAAGCAGTAATAGTAGTATTAGTAGTACTGGAAGCAGTAGCAGTAGTAGTAGTAGTAGTAGTACTGGAAGCAGTAATAGTAGTATTAGTAGTACTGGAAGCAGTAGCAGTAGTAGTAGTAGTAGTAGCAGTACTGGAAGCAGTAGCAGTAGTAGTAGTAGTAGCAGTACTGGAAGCAGTAGCAGTAGTAGTAGTAGCAGTACTGGAAGCAGTAGCAGTAGTAGTAGAAGTACTGGAAGCAGTAGCAGTAGTAGTAGTAGCAGTACTGGAAGCAGTAATAGTAGTATTAGTAGTCCTGGAAGCAGTAGTAGTAGTAGCAGTGCTGGAAGCAGTAATAGTAGTATTAGTAGTACTGGAAGCAGTAGTAGTAGCAGTAGTACTGGAAGCAGTAGCAGTAGTGGTATTAGTAGTGGTGCTAGAAATACCTCCAGTGGTATCGGTGTTATGTGGTTTAAAGATTCATGCTAGATAGAATCTTGGAAATAATAACGTTGCCTTTATTCAGCATTGCCGTGTTGATAACAGATATTAGGGATGACTCCACGTGTCCGGTTCTGGAATAACCAAATGAGGATCCTTCCATCTCTTAGGATGGAGTGGTGTTCGCATACTGCTCGTAGACGTAGCTCAGGTTGTTGCTGGAATAAATGTTGGTCCAGGATGTCTCCCTAATGTATATTTACCACATCGTTTTTGATTGGCTACATCCTATATCACATCTTTAGTGCCCTGTTAGTGGGTGCAAGATTCTTAGCTTTGGTGAAGTTCCAGTTGAAAACACTAGTGGCTGTTGCGCCTCTGACGTTACATGGGCTGAGTTGTATGGAAATATTATGGGTAACTTGGCAGTAATGAAGGATGATAAATTTGTGGTAGCCGGTGTTGAAAGAAAAGATGAAGATACAGGAGTCAGGGTTCCTGCAGTCTCTAATGAAGTAAGGAAATGGAGTTCCGAAAATGTTTAGTGTCTCAACACTCTTCAAGGAACTTTTGGTTGCAGATACGGAAGACTAGTAGAAAAGAGCTTATTATACTTAGTATAATTATTGAGTCTTTACCGAAATTAAAGGTGAATGAGAGAGATTCTTTTGTTAGTCGGCTTTCTGTAGTCTTTAACTGAGTCTGAGACCAGCATTGAACGTCAAGGAAAGTGAGTCTGTTGTAGGTTATCTCTTCTAAAGTAAGGTTGAATCAAATGCACCGAGTCCTTGTAGTTAGTGGACACTAGCGTCCAGAGACGATGAGGAAGACATCGTCCAGGTGAAACCCACAAGTGAAGTAGTTAGGGATAAATAAAACTTTCACCTTCTAGGTTCTTCATGTAAACATTAGCTACAACGGTGCTGATGAGAAAATCTGGAGAGAGTTCCGGGGGTCAACGCCCCCGCGGCCCGGTCTGTGACCAGGCCTCCTGGTGGATCAGAGCCTGATCAACCAGGCTGTTGCTGCTGGCTGCACGCAAACCAACGTACGAGCCACAGCCCGGCTGGTCAGGAACCGACTTTAGGTGCTTGTCCAGTGCCAGCTTGAAGACTGCCAGGGGTCTGTTGGTAATCCCCCTTATGTGTGCTGGGAGGCAGTTGAACAGTCTCGGGCCCCTGACACTTATTGTATGGTCTCTTAACGTGCTAGTGACACCCCTGCTTTTCATTGGGGGGATGGTGCATCGTCTGCCAAGTCTTTTGCTTTCGTAGTGAGTGATTTTCGTGTGCAAGTTCGGTACTAGTCCCTCTAGGATTTTCCAGGTGTATATAATCATGTATCTCTCCCGCCTGCGTTCCAGGGAATACAGGTTCAGGAACCTCAAGTAATTGAGGTGTTTTATCTCCGTTATGCGCGCCGTGAAGGTTCTCTGTACATTTTCTAGGTCAGCAATTTCACCTGCCTTGAAAGGTGCAGACTGAATATAAATATCAAATACATCTAATGCATTCAAAACCATGCATCTGTTATCCCTATTTTATTTTTCTAAAACTCTTAATAATTACATGTACTATAAAAGTAAAAGAAGGTCTTAGCAATGTGTGATGTCACAATGATTGTTTAACATATTTATGGATGGGGTCGTATAAGCAGCGAATACTAGTGTGTTGGGAAGAAAGGTGTAAGATTAAAAGACAGTGAATCTGATAAAAAGTGTGAGTTATCACTGATGCTCTTTACCTATTGCACAGATTTTAGGGAAATTCTGAAGAGAAGCTTCAAAGGTTGGTGGATCAATTTGAAAGGGTGATATAAAAGAAGGAAATTAAAAGTGAACATAAAAAAGAGCGAGGTGATGAGAGTAACAAGAACTACAAGCAATCTGAGACTGGATATCAGAGTGGAGGGAGTGTGAAAGCAGCAAATGTATATAGATATATGGGAGTAGACATATTGGCAGACTGAATTTTGAAAGAAGAGGTAAAGCATAGAATAGACATGGGAAAAAAAAAAGGTAGATACCTGTTGAAAAAAAAAGTTTATCTATGTTTAAAAAAAAAAAAACTGAAATACCCACACTTTTATATGGGTGTGAGGCATAAACTTTAAATGGTGCAGCAAGGAGGAGGCTGGAGGCAGAGATGTCATGTTTAAGAGTAATGTGTGGTGTGAATGTTATGAATAGATTTTGAAGCACAATACGACACCCATATCGGAGGGTTCGGTTATCTGCTGTTCACGATGAGAAATCTCAACTTTATCCCAAATGTTTGCTGTCAAACAGATGTGAAAAAGACGTACAACTCTGTTAACGACCCTTCAGTGATTAGAGCCTTACGCAATCACCATATTCCAGATGCTCCCAAAACGAGAGAGAGAGAGAGAGAGAGAGAGAGAGAGAGAGAGAGAGAGAGAGAGAGAGAGAGAGAGAGAGAGAGAGAGAGAGAGAGAGAGAGAGAGTTGGTGATTATGTAAGTAATATTGCAGTTACTGCCGTCGTCAGTGTGGACAATGCTGCGTCAGAGTCATCACCTGCAGATCTACGTGGAAGGCTCCCCCAACCTTCGTCTGAGTCCTTACTTGAGCACTGAAGGTGATATTCTCCAAGAACTGAACGCAACCTTCATCGCCAGGTTGGTTCTTCTTACTCTTGTGCCAACAACGACTTCTGCTCTTCCATTCTTTTCATTGTACATAAAATTAATCATTATATATGGTGTGCAGCGCTGTATAGCCCTTGTGGTTTAGCGCTTGTTTTTGATTGTAATAATAATAATAATAATAATATATATGGTGAGATTTTCTTAGGAAAGTTGTTGACTGATGTAATTTTTCGTTATATATATGTGATGACAAGCGACCCAGACAATGTAAAATAAACTAGTAACAATGATAATAAAAACAAATATAGCGGAAAGATAAAGATAATAAAAGAAAACTTTATTAGCATATATTATACAAATAATTATAAATTAATAATGGTCCAGTACTAGTTGAAAAGTTTTCATAATTTTCCCCGGAGAATGTCGAGTATATGTCAAGTGTTCCAGCTGATGCATCTTAGGGCCAGAACACTACCTATTTATAATAATAATAATAATAATAATAATAATAATAATAATAATAATAATAATAATAATAATAATGTCTTTATTTACTACCAGTACATGTACAAGGTATACAGACCATAGCTGACATCAATGACATACTACTGTATAGAAAGTTGCTTGTTATGCTGAGCATTTCCCGCAAATTTGATCAGTTTTGTCCCAGGATGCGACCCACACCAGTCCACTAACACCCAGGATGTGACCCACACCAGTCCACTAACACCCAGGATGCGACCCACACCAGTCCACTAACACCCAGGATGCGACCCACACCAGTCCACTAACACCCAGGATGCGACCCACACCAGTCCACTAACACCCAGGATGTGACCCACACCAGTCCACTAACACCCAGGATGTGACCCACACCAGTCCACTAACACCCAGGTGACCCACACCAGTCCACTAACACCCAGGATGTGACCCACACCATCCCTAACACCCAGGATGTGACCCACACCGTCCACTAACACCCGATTTACCCACACAGTCCACTACACCCAGGAGATGACCCCACTAGTCCACTAACACCCAGGATTGTGACCCACACCAGTCCACTAACACCCAGATGTACCCACACTAATCCACTAACACCCAGGATGTGACCCACACCAGTCCACTAACACCCAGGATGTGACCCACACCAGTCCACTAAACACCCAGGATGTGACCCACACCAGTCCACTAACACCCATGATGTGACCCACATCCAGTCCACTAACACCCAGGATGTGACCCACACCAGTCCACTAACACCCAGGATGTGACCCAACACCATCCACTAACACCCAGATGTGACCCACACCATCCACTAACACCCAGGATTTGACCCACACCAGTCCACTAACACCCAGGATTGTACCCACACCAGTCCACAACACCCAGGATGTGACCCACACCAGTCCACTAACACCAGGATATGACCCACACCAGTCCACTAACACCCAGGATGTTGACCCACACCAGTCCACTAACACCCAGGATGCGACCCACACCAGTCCACTAACACCATAATGCGACTCCACACCATCCACTAACACCCAGGATGCGACCCACACCACCCACTACACCCAGGATGCGACTCACACCAGTCCACTAACACCCAGGATGCGACCACACCAGTCCCTAACACCCAGGATGCGACCCACATATCCACTAAACACCCAGGATGCGACCCACACCAGTCACTAACACCCAGGATTGGACCCACACCAGTCACTAACACCCAGGATGCGACCCCACCAGTCCACTAACACCCAGGATGTTACCCACACCAGTCCACTAACACCCAGGATGCGACCCCAACACAGTCCACTAACACCCAGAATGCGACCCACACTCATCCACTAACACCCAGGATGCGACCCACACCAGCCCACTAACACCCAGGATGCGACTCACACCAGTCCACTAACACCCAGGATGCGACCCACACCAGTCCACTAACACCCAGGATGCGACCCACACCAGTCCACTAACACCCAGGATGCGACCCACACCAGTCCACTAACACCCAGGATGTGACCCACACCAGTCCACTAACACCCAGGATGCGACCCACACCAGTCCACTAACACCCAGGATGTTACCCACACCAGTCCACTAACACCCAGGATGTGACCCACACCAGTCCACTAACACCCAGGATGCGACCCACACCAGTCCACTAACACCCAGGATGTGACCCACACCAGTCCACTAACACCCAGGATGCGACCCACACCAGTCCACTAACACCCAGGATGCGACCACACCAGTCCACTAACACCCCAGGATGCGACCCACACCAGTCCACTAACACCCAGGATGCGACCCACACCAGTCCACTAACACCCAGGATGCGACCCACACCAGTCCACTAACACCCAGGAAGCGACCCACACCAGTCCACTAACACCCAGGATGCGACCCACACCAGTCCACTAACACCCAGGATGCGACCCACACCAGTCCACTAACACCCAGGATGTGACCCCCCACCAGTCCACTAACACCCAGATGTGACCCATACCAGTCCACTAACACCCCGGATGTGACCCACACCAGTCCCCTAACACCCCGGATGTGACCCACACCAGTCCACTAACACCCAGGATGTTTACCCACACCAGTCCACTAACACCCAGGATGTACCCACACCAGTCCAAATAACACCCAGGATGTGACCCACACCAGTCCACTAACACCCAGGATGTGACCCCACACCAGTCCCACCAACACCCAGGATGTGACCCAACTCCAGTCCACTAAACACCCAGGAAGAGAATCCCCACCAGTCACACAAACACCCAGGATATGACCCATACCATACCAACTAACACCCAGGATGTGACCCACACCAGTACCCACTAACACCCCAGGATGTGGACCCACACCAGTCAAACTAACACCCAGGAAGGTGCCCACACCATCCCACACACACCCAGTATGTT